TCAACATCCTTACGAAGAGTGTGTTGTCGCTACTCCTATTTTTCAAGATAACAACAGCAAAGTTCATCGAGCTGGAAGAATATAAGACTGGTTTTATGAACACTCAGACACTCAATTGCATCTCGACTGGCCTGCAAAATCACCTGACTTCAATTCCATTGAAAATTTGTGGAACATGTTGGAATAACGGGTAAAACGCCAAAATCAGCATCCTCGCAATTTGCGAGATCAAATCCTCACAGAGTGGCTTAAACTAGATTTGGAGTACCTGCAAAACCTTGTGGACTAACTTCCTAAACCGATTTCAGACGGTTATCGAATTTAAAAGCGGTGTTACTTGCTATTAAATTATGTTTTTCATGATTTCTCAAAGGGTGACTAATTTTTTGCTCGGTGTGCTTATTTCAGATGTGTAAATAGCTATAATCTTGAATTGTACTTCATATTTACTAAATCTTTAATAACTTCTGAAGGAATATTCCAATCAACTTTATTTTGGTGTCATTCGATTCAGTGCAAAGAAATATCTCGCTTTCTAGATAGTCATGTATAAGATTTCTTCCCTTTTGACCTTTAAATTAAAAGCAAAACAATTACATGTTTTTACATCACTAGTTGTCTACTGAGCTATTTTATCTAAGGTAAATTAATGTAAACATTTGTTTCATAATTTATTTAACAACAAAATTTATATAAAAATACATATGTAAATGTCTTAATAGTTTAAGTATCTGCTCTTTCTCTTTCAGTAATAAATTCACCAAAAACAACTCAGGCTTGAGAAACCTTCAGTAGATCATCCGCTAATTTCTCAACCTCATCTATTTTATCACATCTTCTCTTAATAATACTTGGAATCATGTCCTCTCCATAATAGGCACCAGCAATAGCTCCTGCCATTGTAGCAATAGTATCAGTATCAAACCCAACTGATATTGCGAAGTAGATTGTACAAACAAATGGATTTGTGCTCTATAAAAGAGTCAAAAATATTATTATAAAAATAAACAAAGATATTTTTTGCCATGTAGAATAAAAATCAATTCTTTCTGATATGACTATGAAATGGAATGAAAGTTGGCTTAAAAGTATTAAATTTTTTATAGATATTTGATTCCATGTACACAATTGTTTATTTAAAAAGAGCAAAAAGGGCAAAGCTGTAGTAACTGTGATGAATTAAAAATGCAAGTTAAGGCTTCAAGTATTATATCTTCATGCAAAATTGATTGGAATTTTCTTATAAGAAGGAATAATTTTATACTTCAAAAGCTTTAAAGATAATTTTGTTATTGGGTACCTGGACATATGGGTATTGGTGGAAACGAGCTAGTTGATGAAGCAGCATGGGCTGGCCCTAATGCAATTTTCTGGGGCCCTGAACCTGCGCTGGGAATTTCTCTCACCTCATTTAGGGCATCCATTTTCAAGCTCTACAGCAAGATTGCCCATGAGTGATGACGCGCTGCTGACGGTCAGAGACAAGCTAAGGAACTGAATCACGACTGTCCTAGTGTACGTCAAAAGAAGCTCTTAAAGCTTAATAGAAACAGTTTAAGGAAGATCATAGGTCTTTTTACTGGTCACTGCATCCTCAGGAGACACCTACACACAATGGGAATAGAATCTAATTCTCTTTGCGGGGTTGTCATCTTAAAGAAGAGACATCACGACACATACTCTGCGATTGTGATGTCTATTCTGCTCAAATATTTGAGCATTTAAGGCAGCATTGCGTCAATACCTGGGAACTGCAAGACGTTCCTGTAAGGTGCTTGACTTCATTTCAGCTATAGGGCTTTCTTGCTAATCACGATTTAGGGTTTGGGTACAATAGACCTCTGGTCGATGTGCCCTGCTCGTCAGAGCTGCCCAACCTCTAAGTCTAAAATAATTTTGTTAGATAAGCGTTTTATAGTTATACATACCCAATTTATGTCGAATTGAAATTTAAATCTATTTCTTCTTCCCTAAAGTACAACAGTGAAACCTGCACAGTTAACCACTGTGGTAAATTAGAGGGCGGTGAACGTCACCACTTCGATCACTCAACTCAAGCATCTCATCAGGTCCCTTGAGGGACAATAAAAAAAAAATTACAAGATTAATTTTATTAAATTAGGAAAAAATCTAATAGAGTTCTAAGTGATCCGTTTTCCGATAAAGATAACACTTAAAAGGCCCCACAAAATTTTAACCTAAGGTCTAGCGACGGCTCTATAGATTTATAGCTAATTAACATTAAGATAATTCGAAATGACACTTTAAATTTGTCATTAGTAAATCTGCATTTTGATTTTGCATACATATAAATTATTGTAATATAAGCTTACCTCATAATTTGGAAGCAGTTTCAGAGTTCTGAGAAACGAATAAATTGCAGTTGGAACAGATTTAAGTGCTATTTCGTCATTACCTATTACGAAAAGAAATAGCATGTTTAATAAATTTCAAAATTCTACCATTTTTTTATTTTTTTTTGAAAGAAAATTTTTTTCTGCACTAAACTGAATAAATTTTCCTGTAAGCATTCTAACTTTATATTTTTATACCACAGCTATTTAGCAGATTGAAAAATTCAAATGTTATTTTAATAAGATTTGTTAAAATAATTAAAAATAAATAAAAATTAGTACGAAATCAAACTCTGATATGTATGTGTGATGCATTGAAGACATTAAAAAAAATAATTTTTTTTCTGTAAGTCTTACAGTTCATGAGCAAAAGAGACTGTGCACGATTTTAATAACAAGATGTCACTAGAAAAGTATCAGCCATTAGAATATCATTTTAGTTTTAATTTTGATCAGAGTGATCCTATTTTATTGAGTAGCCTGTTTATTGTATTGAAAAACTTAAAAAAGATACAGATAAGTTTTAAACTAAAAATTTAACATAATTTTTCACATTTTAAGTCATACCTTAAAAGCATTAATAAGCTTACTCTTTATAATTTAAACTCCAAGGGAAATATAAATAAAACTCAAATTTACAATTCCGAAATTCACAAAAATTCTTTAAAAATTAAAGCAAATACTTAAACTCTAACTATATTGAGTTAAAGTTCTTAATTGAAAATAAAACTTATCTTAAATTTTTGATAAATTTATCAATAAAACTGTCTTACTTTTGTTCTTCTGCAACTATAAATATTTTTAATAGTTTTAAATATGCATTGTTTTAAACTATAACTTAACTGCAGGTTGTATCCAGGATTAATAATATAACGAAAATGTATTCTTATTCATGAGAAATATTATTATGGTAATCCAGAGCACAAGAATTGAAATGTTAATGATAAGAAAAGAAATCCCAGTGTTAAACGAACTTTGCAACTATAAAAATGTCTTAGAAAAATGTTAATAGTCAATGAGTACAGTATCACTTTAGCAGAAAAAAATTCAAATGCTTTAAATTATTTAAATCTCCTCAACATTCTCGTTTTTTATTATCTTCCAATTTTTATAAATTTTCTTCCTTCTTTTGTTACTTTATAAAAAATAAACTTCAAAAATCTGTATTTTCAAAAATGTAATGTCATTATTAAAAATATGATGACAATATGTCTGGACAAGTATCTTAGGTACTTTAAATAGATGACTAATCTTGCATTGTTGACTCAATTTACAACAAACATTACAAGCATTTCTGGAATATACGCCAATAATTTGCTTGTCACATGAAAATCTGTCATTTTCCTGGCTACTTTTATTTAGTGATTTATAACCAAAATAGATAGAGCCAGCAATCAATATCTTGTGTTAATAGATTGATTAGATAGCATCCTATTTGAACATGTCTTGTTGCATGAATAAAGAACCAACTTTCTGTTTCAAAATCTATTTCAAAAATTTCTCAAGGTGAGTAGGTTTTTATGTTGTCATTTTCCTGTCTTCTTGAAATCATTAATAACATAAACTACATAGATTTATCTGAGTTATTTCAAGAAATCATGTTTTTTTTTCTGCGGAATATAAACGTCTTAGGCCAAAATGTCAAATTAAAGTAAAGTTAAATGCTATAACATGGCAAATTTGTCATTATCCTGGCTTATGAAAGCCAGGACATTGAAATAGTTACCAGAAATTTTTTTAAACAGTTGAATATAAAGAGAGAAAGCAAATATTAACCCAATACCAAGTTTATGTAAGATTGTAATATGGTTGAATGTAATCAAAGTTATTTATTTATTTAATGATTGATTATTATACACAATATTTTATTCTGTACATATCAGCAACAAAATCATTTTTTGATTCTTTCTACAGTGGATAAAAAGAATTAATTTAAGCAATTTATGGTCTATCTAACATAAAGGCTTAAGTTGAGTTACTTACTATTAGCTTAAAATGACTGTTTTTGAAATTTTTTTTTTGGCGTATGCCTGTTTAGGCAGTGGGGGTGCGATTGTTCCAGTTTTTCAATGGCGCCATCTATGGCCAGGAATTCGACTTCTGCCACGCCATTCACACAACCACAACCCGTTTATAGGGCGGGTCATATTCACACACAAAGAAGAAAGGACACAGAACACACAGAGAGAGAAAGAAACATCCATGCCTTTCTCGGGATTCGAACCCATGACCTTTCTGATGCAAGGACAGTTCCCTGCCCCCCCACACAGGCCGGTAGGCGTTTTTTAAACTTCTAAGCTAATATGTCATTTTCCTGGCATTCAAGATTTGGTGATGAATTTCTCTCTATTTTTTTTTCTTGAGTAAATGTCAATA